ATGTGTAGATTTTTTTTGATCAAGGCTATTTGGAGTCCTATATGCCTCACTTATCTGTATGTCAAGTTCTTTTCCCCTGCTTGGAAAGTTTTCTGGCATTACGTCTGCGATGAGTTTTTTTTTTATGTCATCTCCACTCTCTCCTGTTTCTTCATTGACTCCAATCAGTCTTATGTTATTCATCATTGCATCATCTAGCAGCTGCTGGATTGATTTCTAGTGTTCCCTTATAATTTTGGAACAGTTTTTCTTGTCCTGGTCATTAATTGCAATCCTATCTTCTGTATCTGAAATTCTTTCCTCACATTGGCTCATTCTGCTGTGTAGACTTTCAATGGAGTTTTCATCTCCTGGAAATCTGTTTTCATCTGTTTTATGGATTCCATTTGTTTCCTATTTTGGGATTCCATCATGTTCCTCAGCTCCTCTATAGATTTATTAATCATGTTTTGCACTAGGAGCACAATTTCTCCTGTTATCTGAGAAATTAGTTCTAATTTCATTTTTTCCAGATCCCCTTTTTTTGTTTCTTATTGGATACATAAAGATAGACTAGAATTTACCTGTGTAACTTTTGGGCAACCTCATGACTCTTTGAGCTAGCCATGTCCCTTCCATGAAGTATAGCAGGTACACTTGTACAATCTACATATAACCAAGTCACTCTGAATTGCTTTTCTTAGCTATAGGCTGAATTCTTGTGGATTAGGAAATATTTAAATTTCTTATAAATCTAGTGTTCTATTATCTTTTAAAAAGGTGATTTCTTGTTTATTAGTGACTTGTAAATTGGAAAAAGATTACTATCACAGAGATCAATTAATTAATTTTTTACCATATGCCATATATATAGGTTGATTTGGATAGTATTGTGTTTCTTCTGACCTTAAGTGTTTGGAGTGTTACTGAAGTCTTTCATTCAAAAACATGTTTTACTGTTGGTTTTTTTTTTTTCAACAAAGATCATTCAGATATATCTGGATTGAGCAACTCTGAAAAAGATATGGCATTTACCTGTGGCTTACAAAATTATCCATGTTTTCTTGAAAAATGAGATCCAGAAAAACAACCAATATATCAATACCAAAATCAATTTGAAAAAGATCTACTATGAAATTAGTTTTCTCAAATAAAATGTAGTTTAGCAAGAGGGCATTCACTGTCTTCCTCTTTATGGGGATATTTTTCATTATTAGAATGCAAAAATGATGACATGTTTTGAATCATACACTTAATATATGTGAAACCTGATGGCTTTCAAGACCAAAGGACTGTGTTTCAATTTAAATGTATGGATGTTGTATTATAAAAACAAAGTATTTGACTGGAAGATAAATTAAGAGACATTTTGTGCATTTTTCCCATATCCCCTGAGGAAATTGCAGAAGTATGCATTTGAAATTGTGTAAGACATACAGAAGTAGGAAATGACTTATATAGATTTTTTAAATGCCCCAGTATTGTTCTGTCCTTGAGCCAAATTGCATTATTTTGATTCTTCTCTCCGTCAAATGTGGTTGAAGGATTGTTCATTATTGTTGAATTTCAATATGATTGCAAATTAAATGATGCAAAACTCAATAAAGTAAAATACACAAAAGACCAATTAACATCTTATCTCAGTAAGTAGAGAGAGGACTGAGAAAACATATTGTTCTACACTGTAGCATATAATTAAGATGTAGTCATAAATCAGGAAAATGTTATAACTTGTTTAGGTGCCCAGGTGGCTTTTAGGAAGATCAATTAGCTCCTCTTACCCCCTAGAGATGAGACTTCATAGTTATTCCTACCAATTTAAACAGAATAATTTCTCCAACTTCCCACAGTATGTGTGCTCGAGTGCGAACAGCATGTAATTGATGCTTGCAAAGTGTTCATCTCCTTGTCCATTCCTCTTCCAGATGCTCTGTATGATGTCATCACTGTTGGAGCCCCAGCAGCCCATTTTCAGGGATTTAAGAATGGTGGTCTTCGGAAACTGCTCCATAGATTCGAAACAGAGAGAAGAAAGTAAGTAAAGACAGAAAAGAAATGCATATTCTCTTAAAGATAGTATCCTCCCTTTGAACGAATCTATAGACAAGGATAAAGAACTTTGTCTGGCATAATGAATAGTTCTTGTCATCTCTAAGCCATTAGGTAACTTAAGGTTATTGAATTTCTCCGAACTACTTGAGAAAAAAAATAGAGTAAACGAAATCCCTAAACAGTGTGCTTATTGAGTAATACTGTGCTGGCAGAACATGGTGCTGAAAGCCATGTTGCAAAGGGGTGATATTCTAGAAGTAGCTATTGCTCACTCAAGGACTAGTGATCAGAGTTTAGCTTCTTAACGTCATCTAATTTAACTTTGAAGTCATAGACACTTCATACAAAATGTCGGTTCTTTTTTATAACTCTGACCCTACTAGTGATCTCCATCTGGCCTGAGACAGGCCGCATAAGTGCCTCATCTTTCAGCTGTGCCATTTGAAAAGGAAATATCAATACATAGCATTGTCCATTCAGTGATGAGAAAACTTTCTGTTCCTTAGAGAAAAGGCATGGCACAAAAACCAAAGTATTATTGCCATTTATAATTCTATTATGTCCTTCCTCAGTTTGTGGGTTTTAGCACTTAACATGTATTGCCTTATACAGCTTTTGCATGCATACTTTACCCCCACTTCATGCAGATGGCCGCTCCCTGTACTAGTCTCTGGCTACGACTACTCTCAATGCCAACCATAAAGGACATTATCCAGCTGTGCAGAATAACTCCCATTTTCAAATAGCTACTCTTTTTAGATTCAGAACCCAAATTCTGAGAATCAGGGGAAAAGACTCATTCTTATTCACAGGTGGTTTAGTAATAGCATTAGAAAATCTGTTTGAGCAGGGAAAGCAGAACTTCTTAAAGTTTGATCACATTTGTCACATATAATTTTTTATATGCTTTTTTGGTGCCCGGATGTTCAGGAGGAAAAAATTTAAAGTAAGTTAGAATTGAATAATTGACACACTATTATATAAATATATAAATTACATATATATTAGTTTTCTTTCTCTTTTTCTTAAAGTATTGAATTTGGCACAATACTATTAACTCAACTATAGTTCTTATTTGTATTTCTCTCTAGTTTTTGTTCCTGTGGGTGAAGGTTTATATTTCTATGAAATGGTGTTATATGTGTAGAGTGTCAATATCATAATCATCATGTAGAACTATTCCATCTTCATAAAGAGACTCTCAGGTTAGCTCTTAATAGTCATAGTTTTTCCCCAAATCTTTCTACTCTAGAAAATGTTTCTGTTGCCTTACTGCAGTAGTGAATAAAAATCAGTTTTCCAGTGATAGAAAACTCAAAACTTCTGGGAAGAGCAATCTCCAGTTTACTTCATGGGAATCACAAGTCACTTCAAACCACAGACACCACCAAGGAGGGTTTTTTCTCTTTCTGAAGTGGGAATGGGAGCAGAAGATAGGTGTCACAGAGGACAAATGTTTCTCTACTTAAGACAAATGTTTCTCACTGACATGGTTTGGTATCATACTTTGAGAGGGATATGAATATTTTGTAGTCCTCACTCCCAGAACAGGTAGATCTGATTAAAAGATTTAGGTTCCATTGTGTCACTCTTTTTCCAGTCCTTTTTTTTTTTTTTTTGAGTGTGTGTGTGTGTGTGTGTGTGTGTGTAAGTGTGTGTTACCTGAAATTGAACCCAGGGGCTCTGCACTGAGCCACATCATCAGCTCTTTTGTTATTTTTATGTTAAAGTACTGCCCAGGCTGGGCTTGGACTCAGAATCCTCCAGTTTCAGCCTCACAGGGTGCTGGGATTACAAGCATGCACCATCACACCTAGGGGTGCTGTGTTGTTGTCGTTGATGTTGACAGTTTGCTGCAGTGAGGGCTTCTTTGGAAGCCACGTTGAAATATATAGGAAGCAGGAAGACAAACAAACATGGACCTCATCATCATGTCATTTCTTAAGTGATCAGGCCCCTGGCCAATCCACCTGCTTCCTTCATCTCTTGGAGTCATTTGATGTGACTTCCACCGTTAGTGTAGAGTGTTTTATTGTGATTAGCACAAGTAAAATAGATAATGTTTACTCCATCTTGTCTGGAACTAGAAGTCTTTACCTTGAGAATTCACTTAATTATTTTTGTTTTCTTTTTCAATCAAATTTTAAAGTGGATAACATAATTAAAAGACTAAAATCTTTACACAGGGCACCTAGAATTGACTTAAACATAAGGTATTAGTATTTTAGATGAAACATGGAACATAACCATATAATTTTATAAATACCCTGATATGTTATTGGCAAAGATAAATGTTGAGTTGTGTAACTGCACCCTGAGTAATGTTTCTCAAGGTGTAATGTCTGTGCAAATATCTGAATTCTTCACTTTTTTCACTCCTCACTGAGATGTTACATAGAAACACACCCACATTCACAGATCTAGGATTAAATTTAAGTTAAAAGTAAGAGAAAAGTGTAATTAGTGCTTGTAAATACTGATTCCAATAAGTTTTTTATGTTATATGTCCAAATGCTTTATTATTATTATTTATAAAATGCAATAAAATATTTTAAAATTAACTTAGTGTGGCTCCATCAGGAAGTACATAGGTCAAATATGGCTTGCTGAGGTGACTTCATATTGGCCTGTCCACTAAGAGCTGCCCCTAAGGAAAGACTTAATTTCCAAACAAATATTACACCATGCTAATATTTTTTTCATAGATAATTTAAGCAACAAACTTTACATTTCTCAGTCAAAGCCAATATATAGAAGTAAATCTGACTATAAAATTAGTATCTTGTATTTTAAAGTAAATAATTCAGTTTGCAATGAAGAGAATCACCTTAAATGAAGGAAATTTCTTTCTCTCTTCTTTCTTTTGAAATCTCACTCCCAAAGAACAGTCAAGTCTTTTAGGCCACATTTTTGGGAAACTAGCACTGTCATTATTCTATTTAATCTTCATTTATTTTCTTCTCAGCTGAGCAAAGAAATACATTATCATCTGAAAACAGATAATGATTTATATTTCTGTTCCTTAGTGATCTAGTTCTTGATGAATACAATGACCACATAATGAAAAAGTTTATTTAGCATCTGAAAAATCTTGCTTGTGGTACCTTATAATACAAATCAGGTCCTGTATAAATGTACTTTTAAAAATTTCAAGGTAGTCAGGAAGATTGATCTTTTAAAAGCACAAATACCTGAGTGTATTATTCCTTCACTCAGAAATTTTGAAAAAGTCTATGCTTATCTACCTAATACTCAAAGCCTCTGTGATTTCATAACATTCCGCCTTCATCACCCACTCCTCCTGTAGTTACTTCTTAAATGCTATCTATGGAACTATTTCCTAATAGACTATATACATTTTTCACCTCTGGGCCTTTCCTTATTCTATTCCATTTCATGAGAAATTCTCCTGCCTCCTCATCTCCCTACCATTTTCCTTTTTTCTGTCAAAACCGTCTGTATAATCCTATTCAAAATTTTACAAATGGTCTTTCCTGATTCCCTGATCATCATTAAACCTTCCTTATTTCTCAAGATGGCTTGCCTTTCTCCCTTAACTTCTTTTATTTCCATAGTAGCCTTACTAGATTTCGGTAATGGTAAATTATGCTTTATTCTTACCTCATATTTTCATAATCAGTGGTGTTCTTGTGAGTAAGAGATGATGATTTTGAAATTTGGACCTTCCACAGTACCTCATAGAGCACTTTGTATACCAGTAGTCTACAGATCAAGTTCAATAGATATTGGAATTCACATATCAGTCAGGTGGTATGAATAGTCTCTGAAAATAAGTGCTAGAAATTCCATAAGGAAAGTTTAAAAAAACTCAAAATACAGTAACATTAATAATATATACAGTAAAGCAGAGGTTCTCAACATTGTCTGCAGATCAGAATCACTTTTAGAGCTTTAAAACATTTTACTCATGACATAGTATCACCCCAGACTGATCATATCTTAGTCTTTGGGAAGGCAGCCCAGGCATTGCTGTTTTAAAAGCTTCCCCAGTGAGTCTAATGTGCATCCATACTGCTGTGAGAAAACAGGTGCATCGTGCGGAGAGTAGAAACAGGAATAGGTACTGCCTTAGTTACTTTTTGTGTTGCTGAGAGAAAATAAACAACACACAAATTTAAAGGAGCAAAGGTTCATTTCAGATCACAGTTTGTAAAGGATTCAGTCCACAGTTGGCTGGCACCAAGGCAGGGTAGCATGGGAGAAGAGAAACAGTCCATGGAAGTGCAGGCAGAAGAGAACATGCAGTGAGCTTGCCTTCTTTCTGTCCCTTTATATTTCATCCAAACTACAAGTCTATTGGTTGGTGCCACCCACATCCATGGTGGGGCTTTCGTCTTGTCTTCTCTAAATCCATTTGACCACACCCAGAGCTATGCTAAACCTGTTAGTAGATTAATCCAGTACCACAAACCCTTAATTTCATTATCACACACACACATGACCCAGCCACCTCCCCAAAGCCTCACCTATGAGTGCATGAGGCTTTGGAAGGATATCTAGATACATGCCATACCAGGTATACAAATGAGTTTGACTTGAAAACTATACAGAATCTCAATTGGTGTGTATCAAGAGGAAAGAAAGTCTTTGGAAAAAAAACATTTGTTGAAGTACAGAGAAGTAGTCTAACTCACTGACAATTTTTTTGTGTAGAGATTCTAAAACACACTCATTAGACAGTTATAAAATGAAATGAAGTATGAAAAGAAAGCTATAAGAATTTTGCTCTGCAATAACTTGGGTCTTGGAAACAATTAAAATTAAACATAGTGCAGAGATTTTCATGCTACAGATTTGAGACTTTTATAGGAGAAACAAAATCCTAGTTACATATATTTTTCAAAAAATTAAAATCAAGTGACTTGTAACCTATTAATTCACTTGTGACAGCAAACCTCTACTTGTGCTGGGGGTCAGTGATATACCTAGATACTATGTGTGAAAACTTGGGGATGTAAAGA